GTGATGGGAACAGGTATATATGGGAAAAGGAAAAGCATGAGCAGATGCTCAGGGCATCAAACCAGCCTGTATCTCATTAGTCTCCACTCAGTGTTCCCCTGGCTGACCTCACACCCCAATCCTGGGCATTATTTTTATTTATTTATTTATTTATTTATTTATTTATTTATTCATTTATTCATTTATTTAGTTATTTATTTTGGTCTTTTTGAGACAGGGTCTCCCTGTAGCCCCAGCTGACCTGGAACTCACTGGCCTTGAACTCACAGAGATCCACCTGCCTCTGCCTCCCAAGTGCTGGGATTAAAAGCATGTGCCACCACACCCGAACCCATAAACATTTATTATATGTATCTGAAGCACTTAAGACTAAATCATCAAGCCAGGTACCATGGTTCCTTGCAAGCCTGGACTATAGAGCAAGACTCTGTCTCAAAAAACCAAACCAAACCAAAGCAAAAAGACCTCTAAGAATCAAAAAATAAAAGATTCAGCCTTCAGTCAGGCAAGATCATGCATATCTGTGATCACAGTATTTAAAAGGATGAAGCAGGAAGATTGTATTTGAGGTCAAGCTTGGCTATGTAGTAAGACATTAAGATATTGTCTCAGAAAAGAAGAAAGAAAGAGAGGGAAGGAGAGAGGGAGGGAGGGAGGGAGGGAGGGAAGAAGGAAAGAAATAAACTGCCTTCTAATTTAAGAGTACTTAAACTGAACTACAACGAAAGAATTTTCTTTCCTTTGGATACATACTTTCCCACCAAGAGGTAAGAGATAAAAGGTCATGCTATTTCTTTTCCAAAAATTAATAATTGTGATCTAGAATACTTGACTGATCAAGAAAAGTAGCCAGACGTGGTGATGGCTCATACCTGTACTCCCAGCACTTGGCAGTCTGAGGCTGGAGGACTGCAGTGAGTTTGAGGCCCCCTCGAGCAGTGAGTTCCAGGCCAGACTGGATTGTAGCATGAGACCTTGTCTCAAAAAAAAAATAAATAAAATAAAAATAATAATAATAATAATAATTAATTTGGTGTACTGGGCATAAAATGCAGCGCTTCCTGATTGATAAGTACCATGAAACTAAATATCAGCCTCTAGATGATCTTTTTACTTTGTTTTTGTTTTGTGATTTTGAGATGGTGTCTTGACTTGAACTTGTGACCTTCCTGCCGCAGCTTCCCAAGTTCTAGGATGATAGGTTTATGGGACTATCCCCAGCTCCTTTGATATTTTGTAAACAGGACTCACTATGGTGCTGGGAAGGTGGCACACTAAAGTACTTGCCAGGCAAGCATGAGAACCTGAGTTCAGTCTCCAGGATGCATGGAAGCTCCAAGCATGGTGGTGTAGCCTTGAAATCCCAGGGCTGGAGAGGCAGAGACTGATGGATCCCCTGGGGCTCATTGGCCAGCCAGCCTAGCCTACTTGGTGAGTTCCAGGCCAATAAGAGACCCTGTCTCAAAATACAAGATGGAGATTGGAGAGAAGGCTCAATGAGTAAAGTGCTTGCTTTGTGACCATGAAGACTTGATTTTGGATGCCCAGCACCCACATATAAGGTGGATGTTATGGGATATATCTGTATCCCCAGTACTGGAGAGGGGAGACTGAGACAAGTGAATTCCTAGAGCTCCATAGTCAGGTAGTAAGTCTAGGCAAAACAGGGAACTCTAGGTTCAATGAGAAACTGTCTCAAAAAAATAAGATGAAGAGGGGAGAGCTGGTTCAGTGGTTAAGAGCACTGGCTCCTCTTTACAGAGGACCCAGGTTCAGTTCCCAGCACCCACATGGCAGCTAGTATTTATCTATAACTCCAGTTCTAGGGGATCTGTTGCCTTCTTCTGACCTGTAGGCACTGTATATATGTGGTTCACTAACATATATGCAGGCATTTAGGTGGGCGTGGTTGCACACGCCTTTAATCCCAGTACTCTGGAGGCAGAGGCAGGTGGATCTTTGTGAGATCGAGGCTAGCTTGAGCTACATAGTGAGTTCCAGGACAGCTGGAGCTACAGGGAAACCCTGTCTCAAAGAAAAAAAACACTGAGATTTTAATACAGGGTAGTAAGAAAAACAGAAATTGTGGAGAAGGCCTTGCAGAAAAGGCTAAAATTTTCTGACATTTCCCCCAGGCTCTAATGGTCAAGGAGCCTGGTTCCTCACGTCAGGTTTCAGGGCAGAGGTATGACTATCTCAGGGATGCCTCCTGAAAACAGCTGATGCCAGACCAGCTGGTATGTGTCTGTTTACACTTTGGAGCCCAAATCTGGCTTGGGCCCAGCTCTTCTGACTGATTGTGGATAACTTGGTCTATGCCTCAGTTTCCCATTTAATGAGTGAGAAATGTACCTACCTTCATTTATTATTTTATTTTACTTTTCGTATTTCTGGGGATCAACCCAGGGCCTAACACATGGGAGGCAAGTGCTCTACCACTGTGTTGTACCCCCAGTATAGAAGCCTGAATAAAGGCATCCTGAATTCTGTCTTTTGACTAACCCTAGTGCATCCTGGTGTGGCTCTGTGTGCCACTGTCCTTCTGTTCATGGAAACTGACAAATTCTCTCCAAGGGTGGTCATCTCATAACCTATTCACCTTGTCCTGTCTGAATAATAATAAAAACCTTTTGTTTGAGGGGGGGGTCTTTTTGAGACAGGGTCTCCTTGCAGTAGACCAGGCTGGCCTCAATCTAGATCTCAGAGAGATCCACCTGCCTCTGCCTCCCAAGTGCTGGAACTAAAGGCCTGCATCACCACACCGAGCATAAAACCCATTTTTAAGAGCTGAGAAGGCTGTTCAGTTGATAAAGTGCTTGCCTTGCAAGCATGAAGACCTGAATTCAGTCCCCTCAGCCCATATAATAAACCAGGTTGTGACAGCAAACACTTGCAATCCCAGCACTGGAGGGTTAGGACTAGAGGAGACAGGTAGGTCCTGGGGGCTTGCTGCCAACCAGCCTAGCCTACTTGGCAAGCTCCAGGTGAGTGAGAGACCCTGTCTCAAAAAAACAAATGGATAGCACCTGAGGTTGTCCTCCAGCTTACACACATGTACACACATGTGCATGTACACACGTGCACCCACAAATACACAATTTCTTTTTCCAGTCTTTGAGACAGGGTCTCCCTGTAGCC